TTCTCTTAGCACTACTATCAGTACTAGTGTTACCATTCGATGTATTCTGAACACTGAAAATAAAATTACTGTAAATATTATTTCTTAATTTATTAGGTCCGTATCAAACAATTTGGCAGGGTACGTATTTAACATCCTTAGCATTACTACTATTTTTAAATTACAAATCTTTATTACCTTAAATTCAGTTGTCTCTTCTTTTTACGTTGTACCTACTCGAACTTCAGTAACGTTATAGGTCAAAGATGATTCACTTGATTGTAACATCAATTTGGTCAAAGCTCCTGTATTAATTGAACTCGATAAAGTACTCTTGCTTAAAATGGAAGAAGATACACCACAAAATAATTTTATGGAAGGTGCAGAGTTGGGTCGTACTATTTTTCTTCCACAAAAGGGGAGAAAATCATCCGCTTTAAAGTGTTCAGAGCAAATTACGTTATTTTTTGTCCATACCCAATTTTCTTTTTCGATAGAAAGAACCTTGTCCTTGTCCAGTAAAGTTTCATTTCTAGGAAAGCTAGAAATAAAAAAATTACATGTTTACAATAAAAATTTAGAATAAAAAGTGGAAATATCTTATTTTTGTGTACAGCTACCTAAATATTTAGAAATGTTTTGTATTGGACATCTTCTGCAATTTGCGCTTCCTTTCACAGTACAAAGCACAAGACATATTTAAAGTTCAATAAAAACGAAATTTACAAACAAAAATATGAATAACCTCAAAAAACACACCTGTGAACCTAACGTCAACAACAACTGCGTCACTGCGTGACGTAAAAGCCTTCAAAATGTCTGCGCCCGTAGCGTCCCTAGAAAAGTGGATGCACACTCGTCGAAGCTCATTCTCCCCTACTCCATTTCTCTGGAATATTCAGATCAGATAGAGACTGAGCTCCTGTGTCAGTTTGGTAACGTCACTGCACAGTTGAAACTCGCTGACAAGATGAATTTAGTTCCAAATCAAGCTAGGAGAGGTGTCAATCATCATGTAATTATATGTTAAAATATATGTGTATTATCCTGAGGACGACATGCTATTTTTGAGGTTGCATTTGGGTTTTTGAAGTCTACGAAACGGATTTTCTAGGCTAGATTGCCGTTATATTAATTTTGATAAAGTAAATATCGTTTGAAGTAAAGTGAATTGAACTAGAACGACTATTAGCGGCACGCGTCAATCATGTAAGACGGGGTGCGGCGGCTTTGAAGTTGCCGAAAAGATAAACGATGTGTGACGTTATAATATTGGAAAAAATTAAATTGAGGGTAATAAATTGTTTGTGTATTTAATTTAACGGAACATTTCTAAGTCTTTTGAGGGCGATACCGACTACTTGATTTATTACATTATATCTGTCAAACGTGTTAATAAAAGAATTAACTTACCACTGTTACCGATTTATTAGGTTTATAACAATGGAGTGAAATCATTTTCAAGAATTTTCATTATTAGGGGTCTGGCAGGGCATATTATGGCAGTATTTAGAGCTTCTTTAAATAGAAGTGAATGTATTTTAATACAATAGCTATCGTTGTATTATGCAGATTAAAAAATTTAATCACACCCTTTGAGTGTCATTGCCAAGGAAACATCAAAGGAAAATCGGTAAATACCGAATCTGACCCAACTAACGATATATTTTACATATTTTAAACGATTTCATTTTCATTTATTGAAATACAAAAGTATCTACATTTTAGTATAAGTGGTATAAGTATACATAATTGAGTATTAAATTTTGAGCTGAAATAGGTAAAAAAGTAGTTGAAAATAAAACACATTTAACCCTTTATTAGGAATTAAAATCACAAATAATAATTTATATCATTGCCAAAGACCCTATTTTTTATAACGCAACGGTTGTAACTCTTTTGAAAGCTGAAAAATAACATCAATCAGATGAAATATGTGTGTGCTGTACACATACGTCATTTTTAGTGGCGTAAGTGAAAAACCTCACTTGGAGTTTTACCACCTTTGCACAAAAAAAGTCGTCATGGGTTGATTTCGTAAATTTAGTTTTATCTAATCAGATATCTCACACTGATATCTCACAGTCTCACACTGAGGAAGTGAAAACAAACAACACAGGTAACGTTTTGAAAACATCTCTTTTTTCATTCTCAAAACTCAAATAAACTTAAACTCAAATGTGACAGTTTTTTTCCTTTTATTTATCTACCTTCCATAGAGATGTAAGGTGTCATACAATATTTATGTCCTTACATATCTCGTCTTTGAAAATATTCAACAACAGATACGAACATTTAAGAAATTATACAAAACATATTGTCGCGGAACGCTAGCCGTGGTTTCGGTTTTATATGACGACAAAGCCCCACGTTGGGCGCCATGTCGCGATTGTGTATTACTGGCTTCCTGGAGTAGTCCCGGCTGGTGAGTCCGGCCAGCTTCTTCCCTGAGGATGACCAACGGGTTCGATACTCGTATGATGAGATGCCCAGAGTCCCTCTTCACCTCCGATGCTAACGCACTGGGCACAATTCTCGGTGGCTATAGGGCTTCCTGGTACCTCCGTCCTCTCCCTCTTGATGAACGGTCCTGCGGCCATCATCGAGGGGAGGTGAGGCTTCCTGTCCTCCGACATCGTTCTGAATTCGACTATACTCAAGAGAAGATTCCGCGATCTAATTTATTTGTTGTTCGACCAAACAGGCCCTCGGATCACTACACTTATAAGGGTTTCCACTTACGACTTGGAAGCTGGATCGGGTTTTTTTTGATCACCCTGTGTGCGCTTGATCGGGACTAAGCCCTAGTTTCTGAAAATCACTGTCTCTTTTATTTTTCACTACTGTTTAATTCACGGAGCTCGGCCTCCTTGGAGTGCCGTATGTCGGTGCGAATGCTTGAGCTGATCGGGAGCGTTGGAACTCGAGAGTTTTGGTATCTTTTGGACGAGAAATAATAATAACTCGGGAATGAATAAAAATATATACCGTTTATTAAAAATAATACTGATAGTACAGAATGATTAAATGCGGTTTCTTGTATGCGAATGTTGCTCAGAGCTCACCAGGCACTGTGTCCTGGCTGAAGAACTGCATTTGCCGCCAGTTCGTGTTCGATCGCCGCGCAGGGCAAATCTCGGTTGAACGACTGCGACGTGGTTGGGTCCAGGGACACCGCGATTCGGCCCGCGTCGTTGGGAATTTGCCTTGGTCTCGGTTGCTCGGCCGTGGTTGGCGATTTGAAATCAAAAATTCAAAAGGGAGGCGAAAATTTTATTTCCTCCGTCCTTCGTCGACGGTTGTAGGGAGGCTGCGGCGCAGGCCGCGGTTATCGTCCGCTCTCACGGAGGGTGGCTACGCCGGCTTGGTGTCGTCTTTGCGGCTCGACGTTAGGAAAATCAAAAGGTGGGTGAAAATTTTCAGAAGGTCGGCGATTTTCTTCGCCGTCTGAGGCCATTCATCGGGTGTGGTGGACGTCTTGGTATTTTCGTACACTGTGTTGAACATCTTGCATGTTGTGGAAGACCGTTCGTCGCGGTTGGGGAGTTTCAGGTATGTTTTCGAAACATCAGCGAATTTTCATTCATTCTTTTTTCAAAATACTTGTGTTATTTCATTGAATAATATGATTTTGCCACGTACACTCACAAGTTTTTATATTTCAAATCCTCCGTTCTCAGTTTAATTTCAACTTTCTCCGATTCTAACAGTTTAAGGTTTCGAAGTTCCACCATCATGATATTTACTAATACATTCACACATGAATGTAGTATTTAGAACTTTCTATTTCATTTTTCGGTTCAGTTTTTAATAAAATTGTCTGTAACGTACCATTGGTTTGAAAAACATAGCATATACAGGGTGTGCCATTTAACACTCCCACTGCCAATATCTCCGAAATGAAGAAATTTATTTTAGTTTCGGAAATTGGAGTTGTTAGATCCCTCGAATAGCTTCAAATTGTAGTTAGAATTGTTAGTTCAAATCTTTCTGTATAGATGGCGTGGCGATACTAAACAATTTTTTGTTCCCTGGAACGGGGAAATGCAATCCGTTTGAAAGATTGTTAAATTTTGAGTAATTTTTGTAATATAAAGTTTTTCCCTATGTTTACTTATTTTCGAGATATGTCGACTTCAATATGCAATTTATGATATACAGGGTGATTCAAAAAACCGCTGACAGACTACTAGGGTAGATAATACATAAAAAATTAAGACAAAAAGTTTTAATAAACATAGGGTCGCAATTGCCTGCTTAACGAGATACAGGGCGTCAAAGTTTCTGTAAAATTAAACATTGTCTGCAATAATTCCAAAATGCCTGCACATTTCTATTTCAAATTTGCTATGCGTAGTTAGCACCTTAAGACCAATGTTTGATGTACTGCTCAAAATTTTATGAGCAGCAGTGTCGTAGAGACGGGGTCAACGTGACCCTTTTTTAAAAATATTTTCTACGCCACTGCTAATTTTGTCAAACGGGCACTATTTTCGTGTAAAGTGTTCAATTGTCTATCGAATTGGTCGCTTGCAAAATATGGATTAAAGCAATCATTTTTAAGAGAAACTTGTAAATCCAATTTTATTTTCTTTCATTTTAGTTTCGCATAGTAGGCTTGCGCTATTCAAAATAAAATTAAACATCGCCTGTCACTAATGTCAATGTGTACAAGTGAGTTAAGTGAACTAGATTATATGCTTCTTTTTGTCATTTTTACGCTTTAATTTTACAGAAACGCCCTGTATCTTGTTAAGGAGGCAATTGCGACCCTATGTTTATTAAAACTGTTCGTCTTAATTTTTTATGTATTATCTACCCTAGAAGTCTGTCAGCGGTTTTTTGAATCACCCTGTATAGGTAATAAAATATATTATTTTATCTAAATCACACCGACACAAAATATTCTTTTAAAATATTGTTATACTGACTTTATTCACACCACATACTAAGTAACAAACAATAAATTATAAAAAACAAATGATCAACTACAGAAAAAAAATTGTACAATAGTAAATCGTATAACTAGTAAATCTTATAAGGGGCAGAGACGAACCGTATTTTATCAAATGTTATTAAAAATTGCAGTCATAGGTGGCTCATGTCATTTGTTTAAAACAAAACACTGGCAGATGACACACATTAGTTCTTCCTTAACATCTAATCCAAAACATGAAATTAAAGGTCTAAATCTTTTAATTTTAATTTTTAGTGTGACAAATAAACTACTAAATAGCAGTACTAAAGGATATAATAAATATTTATAGACAATATTTCATTTTAGATTTGATTCAAATTACCTTAATACCTTTTAAAGCAAAATTTATGTAATTTTGTACAAAATAACTATAAAAATTTGTTTGCGTTCACTCTGTATAAAGTTACTATTAATTCTTTAAGTTTCATATAGATCCAAAATGATTGCACTTCATTTCTATAAAATGACGGATGCGCTGGTATTGTATAAACATAAATGGTTACAAATGATTGGTAAAAATATACGTTAAGTATATACTACTTGCATACGAATATAATCATTCGTTTCTGCGATAATAATCTAATGACTTTGTAAATATTTAGGATTTACCTACTCATCATTCACCCCTCAATCGGAATCATCGTTACTGAACATTATTCAATGTTTATAGTTCTTATCTGCCCGTTGTTTTATTTAACCTAAAATAATTTTTGGTGTAATATAGTATTAGAACGTGAAGTATATCATTTCTCTCTAATGGTAACTTAATGATGTAAATTAATACTTGGTTATAATTCTCGGGAAAGAGTAAAGGCTTAATAATCTCACAGTCCTTAAGGATTGTGAGATTATTAAGCCTTTACTCTTTCCCGAGAATTATAAATATGGACTCACACTTATCTATTTCAAATTTACGTAATACTTGGTTGTTAACTTATTCGCTCTTGCTTAGAGTTGTGATATTCTTTGCTATTTTACGTTGGATTTTATGAAAATACAAGTGCTTTTTTATGACATTAGGTATACACTTAATCGTATATGTTTATCACAATCAGATATTTAAATTGGGTGATACTTGATACTGAAAAGACTTCAAGTTTACTTTTTAATCGTGTTTGGACAAAATTCTCGTTACACTCATGAGTCCACAGTCATGGATTTACAGTTGTTTTTGATGGTGCTTCATTGGCAAAAGTTGAATTAAGTTTATCGATGCACGGAAATGTTTACGACTTAATTAAATTTTTTGGCTTAGATTTTTCAAGACACTGTAAATAACACAAATAGCGCCTGTATGTGAAAAGGTTGAGTAAGTATACCGACAAAAAAACGAACTTTACGATATGGACGTCGGTTATCAGATGGCAGCACTAAGATCGTCCATTTCCGAAATATAAAAAGCAACCCTCGTATCCTTAATTAAGAATCTTGTCTGTAATGTTTTAGATTTCTTTTGCATATCTAGATTTTTAGTATCGAACCACATTGTTTGACTTCATCTTTAAAAAACATTATGAATATATTTCATAGACCTTTAAATATCTTTTGAGATCTTTAAATATCCTCAACGATAATAAATATAATGATAATAAATATACGGGAGCTAATAATAAAACAAATATATATTTTTAAAAGTTTATTTCTTATAATGATAAGTTATTTTAAAAAATGCTGTTTCACTATACCAACACACACTTGAAGACATATCTGGATAATAAAGCTGTGCATATTTATTTTATTTAAAACAAATCTTTAAAGATTATTTTAAATATGAACTGAAAATTATGTATCTTATATGTTTCATTTGATGAGTGACATTTTCCGACTTCTAAAAAAGCCATTTAACGTATCTGTATATTATAATGATATAAATAAATGGCTATTTCAATAACGAATAAAAGTTATTATATTTTTAACTAATTTTTGGGCAAAATATTCGTTAAAGTAGTGAGTGTGCACCTTTCCACTCATAATTGGTACTTGAACATAAAATTTTATGTTTAAATTTAAACTTAAATAAATCGTGTAACAACACATAACACATCCAATAGTTGGTTTATAAAGATGAATTAATAAATATGCTTTTTGGCTACACCAAAACACCAATTAATGAAGGTGGATAAATGCTAATCGCTTTCATTGCTGTATCAGTTACATTTAAACTCATTATTATAGCATACCTAACTTCGTTCATACATAAAGGTGCAGAAAAGTTCAGAAACGGATCTTAAGATTTTTGTATTTTATACATAATTTAACATAAATGTATTAGAAAATAGCTGTATTATCGTCACTTTTGCATACCTGATCTCTGTCTATTGTCGTAGATTTATTTTAATATCCTCTCTAGAAATACCCGATTAAAACAACTTCAGATTAAGATAATTTTCCTGTGCTATAACATTTAATAAAACTATTAATCACTTATTTTCCAACGAAAATTTATTTTTTATGCACTGCCCTTCTCATTCTGTCTGATATAGGTGCTCTAATATTGGTAAAAAATGTTATAAAATATGTACCTATAATGTTCGTTTTATGTACTGATTGGTTCACGGTTGTTTTCAGTTTGTTTTTCTTTTGTGACGTTTTGAATTCAATATTGTCAACACCATCACTATTTTCGTGTAAGTAGGCTAGCCTCTATTTGAAAGTAAAATAAGTACAAAGTATTTTATTACATTATATTACGTATTATAAAAAAAATGCTTTTTCACTAAATCAACACCTGGTGGAGATAATGACATAATATGTGTTTGCACAAGACAAATCTGAAACTAAATAAAAATTACAACTGGCTTTTGCTCTTTATTGTTACTTAAATTAAAGCAACAATTAAATGATAGTAGGTTAGGTTTTGATAACACTGATGAGTAAATAATATTGAAGGAAGGAAGCATAACACTTCACAATAGTGTCGGTTAATGTGCAGACCTCAAGACATTTCGCTCATAACATGGATAATAAAATCAAAGCACTTGATGAGCAACATGAAACAGTCTATAAGCCCCTAACATATGAGATATCCGAACCTCATCTTTTAAAAGACGATGGAGAGTGCAAGAAAAAGAATAGTTTATTTTTATACATTTCTTCAATAACAGGTATTCTAAAACAACATTTATAAGGGCCTCCAATGTTAAAAAAAATATATTGAAATTATTTTATATTTTAAATTTATTTAATTTTTTGTTGAAAATAATTTATGTTTTGTATTGGGGAACTTTTTTGTAATCTAAGAAATATATGTTTTAGTATAGTTTCTTTAATCGAAGTAAAATATTTTCTCACATAGTTTTAACGTACGACTACCAATAATTCTATTAATTTGTTTAAAAGAACAATAAAATATATTTTTTCTGTTCATTACATATTCGAAATTGAGAATTTTCTGCATTTTTGCAATAGAGTAAATAACGTTGTTCGAAAACTATGTTCCAATACCAGGAACAAATGTAAAAATATGGAGACAAATATTGACATTTAGTATTTATTGTTGTTATCAACTTATATTGTGAGAATTATAAATATAAAAATTATTTAGTTAATTGATTAAGATTGATTATAAACAAAACAAATGATTCGCCATGTTCTAAATATGACTGTAAAGTTGATTTAAAAAGCTGATCTGCGATATGAAAATACCTTAATAGCTGTTTTACATTGACAATTTATTGATGAATAAATTGACGAAGTTCTTCATGAATTAATTCACGAATTTATTGGTAAACAGTGTGGTTTTACACTGCTACAGACTTTGTCAAGTTTTTTGACGTATGAATCAGTTCTACCAATGAATCAAAGAAGCAAATAAATTTCAAAAATGTCACCTTTCCACTCATAATTGTAGTGATACAACAGCGGTACCGTTCTGACACATATTATATAAATATTAGTTTTTGTAAGTAACAAATCAGTAAAAACAATGCAAAACTAGTACGACGCCACACAATTATTTACATATTCCAATAACATAACCTCATTACTGATCTGAGGCTGGAAATCTGTTGGGTTGGTACTTCCGAACTTCACGAAGAAATTGACGAAAATTAGAACATGCTCTAATTCGTCAAGAACTTGATGAATAAATTCATGAAGTTATTTGACAGCAGATTTGGTGCATTACACTTGTCCAATTTCTTGATGAAGCGACTTCATGAATTAATTGATCAATAAATTGTCAATGTAAAACAGCTATTATAAATAAGGTATAATCTATGCTTTTAAGATGAGAGTTATTCAGATTAAAAGGTGAATAAAATAAAACCCAAAATAAAAATTCACCTGTCACTTCTTAAAAAAACTATCCAAAGAAAATTCAATTTTTTCCAGTATAAAATAATAATAATAACAATAATAACCATAATAATAACAACAATAATAATAATAATGATAATAGGAAATAAAATGTGGTTTATTTGGATTTTACTTTTATTATACATATTATATAATATTATATTAATATTATTATAGTTAGATATGTTAAATCTTGGCGATCTCCAAATACGGTCTAAATTTGCAATATAAGAAATACCATAAAACCTAAGTAAACTTAAATTTAATAATTTCCTTTATTAAATTTTCATTTGGTAAAACATCTGTTCACTAAACAGACTGTATTGCAATGTCTATAAATATTGAATACGTTATACAGATGTAATTGGGTCATAATTCTCTTATCATATATACATATTATTATTTAAGAATTCTTTTATAAGCCTTAGTGTGTTGAGATTAATGACGTAAATTAATACCTTAATATTTTTTTTACTCTAAACATAAACTGAATATTTGATCTTCTCTGATTTAAAACTAAAAAGATTACCGGGCAAAATTTTTCATTGATATGATTACATTGATAATAGAGGAGATATATAAAATGTAATGTTTTCGTTATGATTAGAGAACAAAATCTTTATAAACTAAGTAAGAAATACTTTCCATATTAAAATATTCATATTTGAGTAAAAATACTCGAGTCTTATTCAAATAAATTAATATGAAATGCAACATATCACTGGAACAAAAATAAAATAATAGAAAGTACAGGAAACAAATGGGACTCAATCATAATGAAAATACAGGGTATTTCCTAAGTACGGACCGTAACTTCAGGACATCATTTGTTATAGTATTTAAAGAAAAAAGGTTCCTATAAACATGTGGCCGGAAAGGCTTAGATTCAGAAATACAGGGTGCTGAAAATTTTTAAAAATTTATTAATATTTGAAATAAATTTGGAACAGTCAGTGTTAGGTTCTTAATATTTGGCAATTATTGTACGTTAGTAAAGAACTGCTTTTGTATAAAGTCAATTTTTATCTGCGCCAGTGGCGCAGTTAGGCGTGGGTCAGTCGACGTTTTCGTCATAAAATGTAGAACGCCAATGGAGTTTTTAAAATTTTTATTATTATCGGACTTGCCTAATATTTACAACAAAAAAGGCAATCTTGCAATACTAACCTATTCTTAGAAAAATGACCGACAAACAACAATCATAGAAATAATCAGTTTCGACACAAAGTCAAAGCAGATGTTGAAAATGGCCACCTTCTGATAAAACGCACAGTTTCAATCGTTTCATCATTGATTATATCACCCGATCAAAAATTTCTGAAGAATTGTGTATGATGACATCACAACTTTGAATTATTCGATTTCGTAACTCGTTTTCATCTACTACAGGTGTTTTATACACGAGAGACTTGAGGTGATCCCATACATGAAAGTCGCAAGGATTCATATCGGGACTGCGAGCTGACCAAGCTTTGTTTTAAAAGTTTCAATACTGTGTATCTCGGAATCTAAGCGTTTTCGGCCACATGTTTATAAGAACTTTTTTTCTTTAAATACCATAAGAAATTGTGTCCTAATGTTACGGACCGTACTTAGGAAACACTCTGTATATATTTTGCATTTTACAATTGTAGCAACAGTTAAAATTACAATGAACTGAAAGGCAACATTTCCTAAATCTCTCTGTAATACAAAAAATATTTAAACTAACTTTTTTCAGGATAAATCTAGGCAATTTAATAAATAGTTGTTACAATTATCCTCTTATTTAATGCGAGGTATCTTGCACCTCAAAAGTTTGTTTTAAGAATAGGAATACACTCTTATTGACTTTTTGTTATTGGTCACCAGTTATTGTGACATATTTGATCATCGCGATTAAAAGTTTTATTAAGTCTTAATGAAATCAATTGACTTAAATTTTAAAATATACGTTATAAATTTGATATTTTCCAGTATCTTTTAATTATTGATTCTTGCTTTTAAGTGTGGAATGTTTAGTAATACACAGCCACACAAAAATCGACTTTCGCGCCCAGAGGTCAGACCGTGTCTATTATACGTTTTTCGTGTCGCTGAATCCGAATCCGATGTCCATTTAACCCCATCACCTCAAAATTTTTCATAACCTCAAAAAAAAAACGAAATTATGAACAATTAAATCATATAACCATAAGACTCAAGCTTCCAACGCTAAATCCAATTAACCAAATCCCATAAACATATAACTCAATGATATCCCAACCTAATTAGCCCATGAACCTAAACCCCAATAACCCCAATAACCCTATAACCCCATAACCCCATAACCCCATAACCTCATAACCCCATAACCCCATAACCAAGGGAATAAAACATACGCAATCTGTATTATTGCGAAGCATCACATAGCTGAGGAATTCTTGAAAACCCGAGTACTGAATCCCAAAAAATTCTTTAACCCTATAACCCCATAACTAATAAATCATATTCAATATGTATTATGGCTAAACGTTAACGTACTTGAGGATGTCTTAAAAACCTATGCACTCAAACCCCAAAACCCCCATGACCCTACAATTCAAAACCCCACAATTCCCTAACCACAACTTCATTACCTTGTAATTTGATCCCATTCACCAAAGAACCGAGTGCTACAGTCGATCTGTTTTTTTTTATAACTTTAATTGGTAGGACCTTTGGCATTAGTATTACCCGATGTACAACACGAGGTGGTTGCGTTATCGGATTTCGATGTACATCATATAGCTTTTGAAAAAAAAAAAATAATTTGTAGGATAGACCGTATTATAAACTAATCAATAAAACTAAAATAAATAAATGAATGATTACTGTTAAGAATCTCTTTTGACTAGGTCAAATGAAATGAAAATCCAAAGGATAACAATAGATAACACAAAAAATTATATTACTAGAATGACTAGATCGAAAGACCGGACATGTGAAATGACTAGACTACTAGGGTTTTCAAGGAGTCATCAGCTATGTGATGTTTTGCAATAATACATATTGCCTATGATTTGGTTATGGGGTTAAGAGGTTATAGGGTTATTGGTATTTGGGTTCATGGGCTTATTAGGCTGGAATATCATTGGGTTAAATGTTTATGGGATTTGGTTAATTGAATTTAGAGTTGAAAGCTTGAGTCTTCAGGTTATATGGTTTAATTGTTGAGAATATTGTTTTTTTAAGGTTATGAAAAATCCTGAGGTTATAGGGTTAAATGGATTTCGGATTCGGATTCAGCGACCCAATAAACATGGTCTGGCCTCCGGTCCCGAAGGGTGATTTTTTTGTGTGGCTGTGTAATGAAAATAATGAATAATAACCTAAAAATGAAGTTAGCTTTACTATATTTCTTTTTCTTGCAGCTGACCTTCTGATGTTTGACTGCGGCTGTAATTTCACATGGACTTCTCCGGCCATTCCAACACTACGCTCGAGTGACATTGACATCAATCCACTAGGAGTACCGGTGACAACTGTACAAGAGTCTTGGATTGCTGCACTGGTAAATTTGGGAGCAGCAGTCGGACCGTTAGCTTTCGGAAAATTTGCCGACGTTTTTGGAAGGACAAAAGTATTGATGATGATAGCTGTATTAAAAATTGTATCCTACATCATACTCGCGTTTGCACAGAACATATATCTTTTTTATTTGGCTCGGTTTCTCTTAGGGGTAGGTATGGGGTTGAGTTTTGCTTTAATGCCCATGTATACGGGAGAAATTTCTGAAGACCACAACAGAGGAAGGTTGGTTTCGATAATGGCTGTGCTAACAACATTAGGGATGCTATATTCACTTGTTGTGGGTCCTCTTTTACCTCTAAAAGCATTTACTCTTTCCTGTGCTTCCTTCTTAATAATTGCTCTTGTTGGTTTTTTGTCTTTTATTCCGGAATCGCCAGTTTATTTAGTATCCACAGGAAAGTTTTCGAGCGCAAAAAAAACTTTAATGAAACTGAAAAATTTGGATTCGAAATCGGCTGAGAAAGATTTAATGCAATTAACTAGAATTACAGAGGAAGAAAATTCAAATAAAAGTATGTTTAAAAATATTTTCGGAACACCATCACTACGTAAGGGAATATTAATTTGTTTAAGTTTATGTTCTCTTCAGCACTTATCAGGCATATTTCCGATCACGGCTTTCATTGGACCTATTTTTGACGCAGCAGGGAGCAAAATTTCTACCAACCTTTCTGTAATTTTTGTTTCAGTAATACAGCTTATCTCTAGCATACTTTCCTCACTTCTTATTGAAAGAGTTGGAAGAAAGCCGTTGCTATTATTGTCAACATTCGGAACTTCTGTAACACTTTTATTCCTCGGTGTATATTTTTATCTAAAGGAAATGGAATCTCCGTATACACAGGGTCTTTTTTGGTTACCTGTCACGTCTCTTACTGCCTACATGATTGCTTTTAGCATTGGTCTTACTAACGTACCTCTGACAATAGTAAGTGAGGTATTTCCATCCAATGTTAGATCAATTGCTTCATCATTCGTCGCCTTCTTTGGAGCTTTTACTGGCTTCACAGTTACCTTCATCTTTCCACTAGTTATGACATTTTTAGGTGGTGCAAAATGTTTTTGGTTATTTGCGGGAGTGACCATTCTAGGGACCATATTTATTTATTTTGTAATTCCTGAAACCAAAGGCAAGTCTCTAGCGGAAATACAAGCAATTCTAAGCAAAAGTCGAAAATAAACTTGTATCATGTGTTTTACTAAACAATACATCTAAATAAAAAATTTGTTTCTGTATATCTACCTAATTTATTATTAGTATCTAATTACTAATAAAGTATAACTTAATACAATCAGTCTTGTTCTGGTGTACAACTTTGCTCCTGTGATACGGCACAATTAAGGGAAAAAAGGGTCTTTAAACATGATTGTGGAAACTCTTAATTTTTTATATATAACGCGATAAATTAAATATATATATACACCTGTGTGTGTTTTTCTGGGATGGTATGCAGCTTTAGTTTACGATTGTCCACAAATGTATGTACCATATTTTTTTACCTCCAGAGGCCTAGTTCCGAGGATGACTTTAGTAATTTTAAGTTTCATTTCAATTAAATCCGTTCATTATTTTATAATATCCTGTATCCATATTTTATAAATTTATAAATTTAATATTAAAATGGATGATTTTGAAAAATGTCTGAAACTTCTATTCCTCAATTTCATGTACTTTTACTAAGAATATTTACTAATAAAATCTGTAAACTTTTTAATGTCTAGAGCCATTTTCAGCTCATTAGTAGAATTATAATGCCACATCCACATCCACATCTTGAAGAGAATTTACTGTGTTTTAGAAAATTTTCAATTAATTTAGTAACAAAATTTAATCATTTTAAACTGATATTTTTGGAAACAACTTTTCTTGCAGGCTACATGTCGAATCCATCTTTGAATTACATTCTCAATATTTAGTAAACGGCTAAGTTAAAAAGCTTATTCTCCTTACAGGTTAGTAGGTCACTCTCTGCCAGCAAAAAGAAAAAAGAACTTTGTGTCAGTAGGCATTCAGTAGGTAGCATTTAAGGTATGACTTATACTTAGCGGGTTATACCTTATTCACATACCAGAAATTCCTAAATCTTTTTTTTGTGTAAATTATATGGACTGTTTTTTTGTTAATTTGTTAATTTAATTATTGAAAGAAATTATACAAAATTAAATAAAAACCCAACCAAATTATTAGAAAATAAAATTTATAGGACGTTATATAAATACAAACAAGAATTTTCAGATAGTGAGAGAAAAATTTGAAATCCGCATTATAGTAAACCAATAGTTAGTTCCATTAATTCGTCTTGTAATAAATTGGCAAAATATTAATTGGAAATTATCAAACCTTTAGTTGGACATTCTGATTCATACATTAAAAATAGTAAACATCTTTTGGAAAAACTTTATTTAAATAGTTTTAATACTAGTCATTTAATGGTGAGTTTTGATGTAGTTAGTCTTTTCATTATAATGTGCCAGTAGATAAAACATTGATTATTAGCAAAAATAAATTAGAAAATGGTAGCAATTTGGTAAGTAGAACTTAAGTATAGGATGTTTAATGCAATTATTAAGTTTATGTATAAAAAGTACATATTTTCAATTATGGAGGTCTTTATCACTAATTTTTAGTAATATTTTTATGGATTTCTTTGAAGAAAAACTATGTTAACAATTTATATAAAAAAACCTTACTTTTGATGTAGATATGTAGACGATATTTTTGGAATTTGGCCTGTTACCGATGAGGAATTAGCTATATTTATTTAATGATTCATTACCCTTTATTTAAGTAATTAAAAATAATAGCAATTATTTAGAAACAAGTGTTTATAGAAAGCCAACTGACACTAACAGATATCTAAATTTTAATTCAAATCATCATACTGATATAAAGAAAGATGTAGTTAAATGTTTCTATGATGGAGCCAACTTGATTTCCTCGAAAGATGTAATTTTTAATAATGAGGTAAAATTCATAAAGAATGTACTAATAAATAATCAACACTCTCAGAATTTTGTTGAAACAGTCTTTAGGAATATTGGAAATAAGACAAATTATGTAAAACAAAAAAAGAGAAATTACATCCACATTAAAAATTCCATAAATACCTGTAGGTATTATGGGAAAAATTAAGAAAAATAGAAAACAAATTCACATTAGAACAGTTTTTCTGACAACTAGGTAATACTTTAAGGAGTTTATTATAAAGGACGTGCCCTAATAATGTTTTTCAAAATTTAAAAATTGCATTTATAGCATACCTTGTGAATGTAATAAACATTTAGTTGGAGAGACTTCTCGACCTGTGAATATTAGAATCGATGAACACAAAAAGTACATTAAAAAACGAGAATTTGAATAATCTAAAATTTGCGATCACGCTTGGGAAAACGGTAATATTATTCAATGGGGTTCGACTAAAATTTTGGAAAAAGAAGATAATACCTTTGAAAGAAAATTAAAAGAGTCCACGATTATTTTGTTGAATGGTGAAAGATGTGTGTCAAATTATTTTATAAACTTGAATCCTTGCTGGCTACAAATTCTAAAAGTTGAAGTAAGTGATAATAGAATAAACATCATACGATAATCTCTAATCCATCTCTAATGGAAACAGACAAAAGCAAACAAATTTAAACTATCAAAGTTATAAAACGAAAAGTCAAGAAAAGTTCAGAAGAACAAAACAGTGGATTTTCGAAACGTTAACTACCTTTTGTGATGTGTTTTTGTACTTTGTATTTGTCTGCTTTTTTGCAGTGTGAGTTTTTTTGGAAGGCCAAACCACTTTCATAAAAATAACCCTTGACTGGTTTATTTGGTGCAAGGGTTTATTTTACTAATTTTTTCGCAGATGGCAAGATATCCGAAAAAACTACGCTAAGTAGAGTTTGAAACTAAAGTTTGTCCAAATATTTTAGGTAGGTACACCCTTTAGATATATGTGGGTTTTATTTAGTTCTGTATATCTGATTTTCCTTAAAATTCTTAGTCTAAATTTAACCAGTCATACTGTTGCAAAATGATTAATAAACAACTTTAGTAATGCACAAATAAATTAATTTATAATTATTATTTGTAGTTACGAGGAGTCAATATGCTTTTTCAGTTTGTAACAAAAAATAGTAACGAATGCGAACAGTATAATTTTATATTACCATTTAATTTTCTATCTTCAATTTTTGTGTTATTCGATAATGTGAAAAACAATTTCTCTCAATTTTCTATGACATTAAAACTTTGTTCAAAGTTGAAGTGATCTCTATCATGCATGCACTCAACTTGTGACACTGTAATGTGTATTTAAATATCTTTTGAAACATCTACGGTAAGCTTATAATTGTAGAAAAACATTCGGTTCCTGAATAATACATATAACCGCTACATAAAACCACAGTAATATAGCACCTAATGACTGTAGATATTATTTACATAAATAATAAGATATGCCTGCGGAATAAAAAATGAGGTAATTTGTAAATAAATAATGCAAATAAATGCGTGTATATTGACAGAAAGTAACGATTACTGCAAAACAGTAATGTTGTAACTGTTCGTAAAACAATAAAAGCTAACCTGGATATTTCAGTGCGGTCAAGTTAGGGTGGAGTTATACAAAATACATTATTTTGATGTTTTAATGTTCAATAAACTTGCATATTGAGGATTGTTTTTGACCAGTGCTAGCCAATAAGGATAGCAAAGGGCCCGTCGTCCTTTGCGCAGGACTATAAGGGCGGGGAATAACTACAAAGCAAACGCCTTCGGTGTCATAATAGATTCATAGCAACGTTATGTTGCTGTAATATTATAATAATGACATTTGAATTCTTACATGCTATTTTTATTGTCAGTATTTATCCAGGTGACTGTAAAACGCCGTCTAGAGCGCCGTATATTTGGAATTTCAGTAAAGTTTCAGTTCTTTTGTTAATTATTCTTTATCAGATTGGTCCGCTTTTGTTTACTTAACTGTTGACCGATGTTTTTGTTCTGCGGACGGTGATTTTTGTGAGTTTTTTCGACGGCTATGGATCCGCAAAATTCGCACTACCATTTTGGCGAAGGCGCGGGTTCTAGCCCCCTTTTACCCGTATCCGCATTTTCAGCTTACAGCCTGCTGAGAAACTGTAATTATTTATTAACGTCCCAAACGCAAGGTTTGTATTGAGGTGTTTTCTTAAATGCACTACAATAGCGATTGATATTTACCAACACGGAGATTTTTAATAAATACATACGTCTTTTTATTTCAATGCTTATATGTATAGTTCATTTGTTTTACATAATAGTAGAGGAAACTAAAAACAACTATTTAAATTGAAAACATAAAATATAAGATTTTAGGTCCTATATTTTTAACATTTTGTAATGCTTGTGGAATATAGATATCTGCTACAAAATAACTGAACACACTAATGAATTTAATGTTGATTTTGACAAACCTGTGAGCACAAATAATGAAAATAGATCATATTAATGTTTTTAAATTATTGTTATATAAGAACAATAAAATCCAAATTGCGTTATCCTTGTCTTGAAATTATTATCTTCAGAAATATATAAAAATTTAAAAAAATATGGTACAGTTCTCCAATTACCTGTAAATTAAAGTTAATTTTTCAGTTACAAACTTAACCTATTTAATAAAATACCATATGCTAAATATATTTGATTGTGTTAATAATTAAATATATTCAATTATATTATTATACGTAAATATTATTTAACTAAACCAAACCTAACCTATCCTAATTTGATTTTAACTATATGTATACTTAATTATTTGGCAAAATATCTAAAATTATATGCTAAACGTTTATAACCGTTACTGAAAGTAGGTAAATTATTTTTACTGTACCTCAGTAATATATACTTACTTCACAAGAGTGATTATAAACCTAACTACTTGGAGACGAAACATTACATAAAATATTAATACTGTGCAGATAATTTTTTGCCCTTGATAAATTAAAATTAGTATGAATGTAGACAAAGCTTCACATTAAGTAGGTTGCCAATTTTGTAAATACGAGTATATTGTTTTCTGGATTATATACCAGTATCTATGTTTACATATCTATAAATTTGACTGATTGACCCGAAGGCTGATCGAATACAAAATAACAACGTTGTCAGCTTAAGATTTTTCCTTAAATTAGCCGAAACATATATTTGGGGAATGACTTTTATTTCTCAAATTTAAACAATTTTACTCATAAAAGCATAATATATTTATCTACATTTCTCTCCTATGATATTTCAAAAGTAATTAGATAATAGAACACTTTTTAATTTTCAAGACAAATAAATATTTAATACTTCTAGTGATTTTTAGGTATAAAGCGAATGACCGATTATATCCAAACATGTTTATCTTTATTTTCTCCCACATAAAAATAATAACAATAAATTATCTGTTGTTGATGGTTGTTATTTATTAAGTAATTCATGTTCTCTGAATTTTAGGCAAAAACAGATTATACAGAGTGATTTCACTTTAAATACACAAACTGCAGGAATCGATTAGTTGTCAAAAAATAAGTAGAGTTTGCTCTATAAATTTTTTTTCTGGGGGACGTGGTATTCGAGATACAGGGTGTTCAAATTTCCAAAAAGAATTATATTTTCTGTCTTATCTTCATATTACTCTGAACGATTTGAATGAAATTTACTACAGCGTATTTACGTAATTAGACCTTTTGTTGAATGTAATATTAACCTCGTGGCATTAACCAATTGCGTGCTAGTGAAGGTGTCGTTTTGTTTTCCCAATAAAAAGATACGCCACTGGCAGTTTTTTGTAGAAATAATGTAAAATTCAGGTACTGTTACGTTAAATGAATAAAAAGTGAGTATTTTTTAATAGTAGCAGCCGTTTAGGAGATGATTTACTTATTTGGCGACCATTATGCGCAAATTTAGTCCACCTACTCATATTTGTTTAAAATCCATCAGCAAAAATTGTCTGCATTATCAGTTAGTAAGCTTTACGCTTATCTCATTTTAGTATTATAACTAGTTTTGTTTATTTATTTCTGTAGCTGCAGTCCTTGCTGGGCTTATGAACACGAGACGAATTGTGGCAAAGAATAGAGGAAAATTGTAGTCTCCTCAGAAAAAATCACGTCATGATAAGTTCCTCTATAAATAGATTAGAATATGTCAAAAGTGTATCGATGCGGAAGGACTTCGTTTTAGACAATTGTTGTAGAACTCGTTACTTAATTAGTTACTCGACCTATTTGCTAATGTTATTTTATTATCTAGTTTTGATATTTTTTACAGAAATAAAATTATTTCTACAAAAAACCGTCAGTGGCGTATTCTTTCCTTGGGAAAAGTTGGCGGGCGTTTTAGTAGCACGTGTCACTGGTTAAAACCAGGACGTTTTCATCAAATAAACGGATTAATTTGTAAGGGAAATTCAATACAACGTAAAAACAAGCCCAAATATCTCCTAAACGGCTGCTACTATTAAAAAACACCAAGAGATATTTTTCATTCACTTAACGTAAGAGTACTTGAATCTAATATTATTTCTAAAAAAAAAACGCCACTGGTGTATTTTTTTTCTTAGGGAAAATTCAATATAATTAAGTGAATACGCTGTAGTAAATTTCATTCAATTCCGTCAGCGCATTATGAAGATATAGTAGAAAATATGTATTTTTTTTAANCTTATGATGCCAAATTTTACTGAAATCGGTGGATTTCAAAAAAGTACACCCGCCATATTGGATCAGCCATCTTGAATTTTTACAATGTGAATTCATATTCGTAATCAGCGACCTAAAAAATCCCTTTATACAAAATCTCTAAGAGCATTTCGATTTTTTTAATTTTTTTTTCCATAGAGATATGATAGATTGAAGTTTATTATTTCAGCGATTTCGTTACAGCATGGAAATAAACAAAATTTATCCAAATACGAGATATATTGCACTTTTAGGTTAGAATTTCTCGAGAACCTATAGGGCGATGGGTCATTTCTGAGCTGAGATTCATAATCAGCGCACCAAAATCCTTTGGCTTGATCCGGTCTCTGGTTCTGGACTTTCGTAAAATTTTGTCGGCCTGTGAAACAATAACATCAAGATTTCATTAAAACACACAAACACTGTTTCAACGGCTGTGTTTGGGTGTAATTTTTCACGAGATTCTATTCAATCAATCGGCATTATCTCGAACATAGACGTAACAATTTGTCATTGTTCATTGTAAACGAATCATTAATATTAGTCATTTAGAGATTTTTTGTTACCAGTACCAGCTCTGCAATGCTGGTTGTCTAAACTTGCTGGTCACATGGCACGGACCCCTTTTTTATATTCATGAACCACCTTATCTTAAATTTTAGTACAAATAGAGTTGCAGTAAATATACTTTAGTTTTAGTTCGAGAAATTTTTTATTTTTTAAATGAACTCGTACAAGATTATACAGAGTGATTTCACTTTAAATACACAAACTGCAGGAATCGATTAGTTGTCAAAAAATAAGTAGAGTTTGCTCTATAAATTTTTTTTCTGGGGGACGTGGTATTCGAGTTACAGGGTGTTCNATTATTTGACGTAAATATTATTTAACTAAACCAAACCTAACCTATCCTAATTTGATTTTAACTATATGTATACTTAATTATTTGGCAAAATATCTAAAATTATATGCTAAACGTTTATAACCGTTACTGAAAGTAGGTAAATTATTTTTACTGTACCTCAGTAATATATACTTACTTCACAAAAGTGATTATAAACCTAACTACTTGGAGACGAAACATTACATAAAATATTAATACTGTGCAGATAATTTTTTGCCCTTGATAAATTAAAATTAGTATGAATGTAGACAAAGCTTCACATTAAGTAGGTTGCCAATTTTGTAAATACGAGTATATTGTTTTCTGGATTATATACCAGTATCTATGTTTACATATCTATAAATTTGACTGATTGACCCGAAGGCTGATCGAATACAAAATAACAACGTTGTCAGCTTAAGATTTTTCCTTAAATTAGCCGAAACATATATTTGGGGAATGACTTTTATTTCTCAAATTTAAACAATTTTACTCATAAAAGCATAATATATTTATCTACATTTCTCTCCTATGATATTTCAAAAGTAATTAGATAATAGAACACTTTTTAATTTTCAAGACAAATAAATATTTAATACTTCTAGTGATTTTTAGGTATAAAGCGAATGACCGATTATATCCAAACATGTTTATCTTTATTTTCTCCCACATAAAAATAATAACAATAAATTATCTGTTGTTGATGGTTGTTATTTATTAAGTAATTCATGTTCTCTGAATTTTAGGCAAAAACAGATTATACAGAGTGATTTCACTTTAAATACACAAACTGCAGGAATCGATTAGTTGTCAAAAAATAAGTAGAGTTTGCTCTATAAATTTTTTTTCTGGGGGACGTGGTATTCGAGTTACAGGGTGTTCAAATTTCCAAAAAGAATTATATTTTCTGTCTTATCTTCATATTACTCTGAACGATTTGAATGAAATTTACTACAGCGTATTTACGTAATTAGACCTTTTGTTGAATGTAATATTAACCTCGTGGCATTAACCAATTGCGTGCTAGTGAATGTGTCGTTTTGTTTTCCCAATAAAAAGATACGCCACTGGCAGTTTTTTGTAGAAATAATGTTAAATTCAGGTACTGTTACGTTAAATGAATAAAAAGTGAGTATTTTTTAATAGTAGCAGCCGTTTAGGAGATGATTTACTTATTTGGCGACCATTATGCGCAAATTTAGTCCACCTACTCATATTTGTTTAAAATCCATCAGCAAAAATTGTCTGCATTATCAGTTAGTAAGCTTTACGCTTATCTCATTTTAGTATTATAACTAGTTTTGTTTATTTATTTCTGTAGCTGCAGTCCTTGCTGGGCTTATGAACACGAGACGAATTGTGGCAAAGAATAGAGGAAAATTGTAGTCTCCTCAGAAAAAATCACGTCATGATAAGTTCCTCTATAAATAGATTAGAATATGTCAAAAGTGTATCGATGCGGAAGGACTTCGTTTTAGACAATTGTTGTAGAACTCGTTACTTAATTAGTTACTCGACCTATTTGCTAATGTTATTTTATTATCTAGTTTTGATATTTTTTCCAGAAATAAAATTATTTCTACAAAAAACCGTCAGTGGCGTATTCTTTCCTTGGGAAAAGTTGGCGGGCGTTTTAGTAGCACGTGTCACTGGTTAAAACCAGGACGTTTTCATCAAATAAACGGATTAATTTGTAAGGGAAATTCAATACAACGTAAAAACAAGCCCAAATATCTCCTAAACGGCTGCTACTATTAAAAAACACCAAGAGATATTTTTCATTCACTTAACGTAAGAGTACTTGAATCTAATATTATTTCTAAAAAAAAAACGCCACTGGTGTATTTTTTTTCTTAGGGAAAATTCAATATAATTAAGTGAATACGCTGTAGTAAATTTCATTCAATTCCGTCAGCGCATTATGAAGATATAGTAGAAAATATGTATTTTTTTTTAACTTTCACACCCTATATCTCGAATACCGAGTCCTGCAGGAAAAAAGTTTATGGAACAAACTGTACTTATTTTTTGGTAATGGATCTAGCGATCGAGTCCTGCAGTTTCTGTATTTAAAGTGAAATTACCCTGTATAATATTATTGTGCACTACTTGAAACTAATAGAATAGTGTAATTATTGTTAAATTGTTAAATTAGACGCTTATAAATAGGAGACGCTTATAAGTACATAGAACAAAATTTTTTTTAATTATTTATTTGATTTTTTATGTATACCAGAAAGCTTATAATATCCTTCCGTGTTCTTTAATTTCCTCAGATTTGCACCAACAATTTGCATGGATTATTATCGTTTTATCTGACCGCATTTATTCATTTCAGAAACATATCTCTAGAAATTAGAGGAGCATGAACTATTTAATCACGCTTTTAAACTAACATGCAAGAATATAAACGTAGTTTTAAAGTTAATTTCTATTAGGTATAACGAAAGTCCCTATTCAGTCTATATGTAGGTCCATTTATATCTACTGTTTCCTTAAATATAGATACCAAAATGATACCGAATCCTGTGTTACAGGATAATTATAACATATATTCTCAATGATTTAAGATTGCTAATTACTGGATTATACAATAATTTTTCCTCTTCATTTTCGCATTTAAAAATTATGTACCTAAATTTTAGATATTTGTCGATTTTGAAGCGAAATAAATTGATCCTATAACTGCAGTCACTAATTGTAAGATAAAATTTTCATTGGTTATATTTAGGTGACATAAAAAAATCATTAATCCTAAATCCTACAACATAAATTTTTATTTTGAATATGTTGTCTAACTCTAATTTAATTTTTAGATGCGCATTTGAAATCTTTCAGGAGTCCAGTCCCATCAGATTTTCACCTCCGATCGCCAGTGATTGAAGAGGAAAAAGCCTTTTTAAATTTTCCTCCTAAGGGCTTTATATCAACACCCGCTCCATTTTTTGGTTACTCATCGCATCCGATTCATCTGTTACAAACTGATCAAATACGTAAGTTTAAATTTTGCCTATATCTTAATTTTTTCACAACGTCATCTTTCTGCAATTTAAATCAGTGTTCTCTTAATCGCTGATCCGAATTTAGAGAAAATGTTTAGAAAATATTGTCTATTAATCAATAAATGGATTAGTTAGAAAGCTTCGTGGAGGCCTACCACGAAGCTTTCGATCTGCGAAAGTTGTTAACTTGGAGGAACGAAAATAGAAGCTGCTGCATTTGCAAACGTCCTGCTCAAAGATAGAGCTTTGAGTTTGCTTGTATTGCAAACAAATGCTGTGTGGTAGGACCATGAAAGATGTTCCGTAACACTGGCATTAAGATTATAGTAGGAAGTTAGTTTTTGATTGTGTACCTTGCAATGAGAACTGGTACCATGGATTACATTTTGAAGATGGAGAAAATTAGCCTTCTTTGCATTGACCCTAGTTGCTCGCAAACAAAACCAAACGTTAAATGAAATGTCTTTGTTTGACCCTGAATTGATGGGCTGAAGTAGCCCTTTCATATTAGAAAATATTACTCGCAAAGGGTTTGCAAATAGTTTGGTGTTGTCAGCGCAAAATGACACTTTAGAATTTATATGCAGCATGCATCCGAGATGAACACTAAGAATAATAGAGGTACCAAGGCAGATCTTTGCGGTACACTACTAATTACTGGACCCGTGGATGAAAAAGACTCATAAACCGGAACAATAAAGATCATGTCGAAGCAAACATTTAACCTCAGCACCAAATACCAACCAACTATATTGTTGCTGGAAATAACGTTCCATAATACAGAAAATGTAGCATTTTATCTCGTATTTAATTCCATAGATTTGTTGATAATTAACAATATTTCACAGTCCAGTTTATCATCTTTCTTGTATAGTAGTGGCAGAGGCTTTTTCCAAATTACTGTTCGTCCTTCCAATTAGAAGGACATAATATTACAAAAAGTTTCATTATTATTGAAACCGGTTAGGAAATAAAAACAGCCTTGCTTTATAATCAATTTAAGATACTTTTCAGATAGATACTTTTTATAATGGGTATGGCAACAATCTTCTTCATAAAATCTTGTCTATTTCATGTAGTGGTTGTTTGCTGGCATTCCCCAAAATTATACCTTAAAGTTTTAAATTTAAAAGATAAGTTGTTTCAAAAAGGCATATCTGCAACAAAATCGTTACTAGTATAAGTTCTTTTATATGTTTTCATCAAGTTCGTTTTGTGTTTAGTTTTCGCTTAATGTTTCTAATTTATCACTACGAAATTTGAAAAATGTTTTTAATATTTATAATTTTTATTAATTTCTTAAATTTTATTATTAGATCTCGTATTTTCTACTCTATTTTAGGTATTAAACTAGTTTAAAAATTAATTTAACTTCAGTTGATAATTTTTTTTGAAAAATTCTTTTTTGAATTTGTTTGAATTAGCTTAATTCTTTAATTTGTTTCTGATTTGATGACTTTTTTTAGGATCTAGAAGCCCCAATAACGTATCTCCGTGCTCCTCCATCTATGGCACAAGTTCTAATTTTAAAAGACAAAGAGGAGAAAAAAAACCAATCCCAGACGAACAAAAGGACGATAAGTATTTTGAGAGGAGACGAAGAAATAATCAGGCTGCGAAAAAGTCTAGAGATGCCAGGAAAATGAGAGAAGACCAGGTAAATACTAAATACATAAGTACGATTTTTGCTTGAGGCGGGTCCAGAGCTGCTGCTAGCTCTATGGAGGCCTCAAAAAAAAAGAGGAAGATAATATTATTGGATCTTTTTTTTTTGGTAGTCCGCGCAAACCTCTACCCTCTCTCCCCCCTAGCTACGCCTATGTATTTTCTTATAGACATCTATGGATCTATCTAATAAGTTTGCAAATAGTACTCAGTGCTAATAAGAATGATAAATTCTCATGAATACGCTTTCATCATTTAATTAACGAATAAATCAATTTATAAAGTTTATAAAAACATGTAAACAAACCAATAAAACTATATTGCATCTTGAATGTGTTTATTTTCAGATTGCCTTAAAAGCCACAATTCTAGAACATGAAAACGCAATTTTGAGGGCACAAGTGTTGACACTGCGAGAGGAAGCTTCATCTCTACGACAAATGCTTCTCCAGAAAAAAGCTTTAGAATTAGCTACAAGAGATCCACAAATTTGTATAAATTAAAATTTTCTATTAAGTACTTTGTGATATTTATACTGTTGTACATACAATTTTATTTCAATAGAATCTATTTATTTTTATCCTATCAATACAATCTATAATAATAAATCACCACTAATGGCTTCAGTTGATGACTTTTATGAAACAGAAAAAAAATAAGTTTTCCTCAAAACATTTTCAAGGAAATCATGGCAAAATTCAGTTTTAGGTAGGTACATGCTCGTCATAATGGCTATTTTGAATTAAGTTCTTAAACTTGTTATTTTACTGAGCTGTAAATTATTAAATAAAATTATAAAATATGTATTATAGACCATAAAGTAGAGGCGATGCAAAGTGGGAAACGAAATTTATTATGTATTTCAAATTTAACAATTTTACTTTATTTAAAAAATAAAATAATTAATAGGGTGTACCTACAAAAATCGACTTTTTATTCAACAAATAAAGGTACAAATGAAGGCTGGTTCCACAATTAAAAAATTCGTTATTTTAACGCTATTTTAAGGAAATTATGTACCCAAAAGTACGAAAAGCAATCGCATTTACAAACTTGATTCAAAATAATACATTTTGAACCTTATGTAAGCATTGTACCGGAATGCGCATGTGTCTGACTGGGGATCACTCTGATTGTTGGGAACTGCGTTAGGAACAAAGCTAATGTCGTTTTCATTGTAGCCTTAGATTAGGCATTCCTAAACTAAGATTGTAGAGATCTTTTAATATCTCATGAGCCGCGAAATGCGCGAAAGGCGTGGCGTATCCCCATAATTCTTCTAATAAGCACGTTGTGAAAACATTGACTCAGAATTAGAACACGTGCCTCATTACAACTAGAAATGAACTAAGGCGCTCGGGCATCAATAAAGTCAACTGGCGAACGTTCGTTATATATATTTTTATTGTTTAAATTAAAATAATAAAGAATAGGGCATTTTATTATGATATTTGTAATCGGATCAAAGGCTTGTTTACGCTAGAGCTCGAGAGAGACTGTGAATAATAGGTGCAATGTTTTTAGGATGTAGAATAATTTAGGCGACGGTCGGAATTATGTTTCTGCGCATATGAAGGTCAAAGCTCATAAGATTTTAAAACATCTCTAC